TGTTTTATATGAATGTATCTCTGAAGGGAACCGAATGTTTTCAGAATAGTTTAGATGGCATGTTTATCTGATAAAGTAGCGCTACTCCGCTGTTTTCATCATAATAATAAATGTGTTTGAGCAGATCAGAATATTAGAGTGATTTCTGAAGGATCATGTGACTGGAGGAATGATGCTAAAGCTCTGCTCTGAAATCACAGGAATACATTATATTTTCAAATAGAAACAGTTATATTAAATAGTAAAAATATTTCAAAATGTTACTGTTTTTGCTGTATTTTGGATCAAATAAATGCAGGCTCGGTGAGCAGAAGAGAATTCTTAAAAAAACATTAAAAATCTTACTGTTCAAAAACTGTTGACTGGTATGTTAGCCTATAGTTTGAAGTAAAAAATATTAATATTAATAAGGAGAGTCTGAGATTTATTTGACAGGGATTTCACATTTCTTGTTTGTATGAAGGCTAAATACCAATAAAAGGTGAACATTTATTTATTTGCACCATTTTTTTCCTAAAATATTATACAGTTTTATAGGACTAGGTTTCATAGAGTTGGCAAATTAATTTTTCATAAGTTTGTATGCACAGACATCTGTTGTGGCCGTTCTTGGCCATTTTTATGAGGCTTTTTTAATAGTGTTCATATCGATATCGGAATTATATCGTATCGACCGAAATTAAGAAATATATCGTGATATAAATGTTGGCCATATCGTCCAGCGCTATGTCTAGCCAAGTCAAAGTTTAGATGTAATATTAAATAGTCAGTACAATACAATAAACAGTATGTGATCTCTCAGTTGAGAGATCAAAACCCTGAAAATAACACTGAGCAGAAAAAAACAAAGAGATGTATTATTATGAAAATGTATTGTCATATCTGTGTCTTTTTATGTCAGATTCTTAAATTTAATAAATCCAATCTGAATAAAAAAAACATGTTGGCTATTAACAAAAAAATGAATCGAGCTACTTTTTAAAATATGAAACTACAACCGCCAGTAGGTGGCAGCAAGTGACTGTCGTAATGAGTGAGCTGAATCCTTAAATCAACCGATTCGTTTAAAATGCTAATTCATTTAACTTAGCGAACACAAATGTTCAGATTTATTATAGCATATGCTAAGAAAAATTAATGCTATTCATTAGCTTTCTAATAAGCACAGGCTGCGACTGCGCCAGACGTTACTTCATGCAGAGAACATAAGTTAGGCTACATAAGTATATTGTAATTTGCTTAGCCAGTATTATAAATTAAACTCAGGGCCTGAATTTCGTTTTAGAAACAGTTTTGGTGGAAAACATTCAGGTACAGAAATGCTGCAGAAATGGAATAAACTGTAAATTAAAAACAGTAAATTCACTGTAAATTAAACAACAGATTGATTCTTAAAATTAAAGTTACAAAAGTTATTCAGTCAAGAGCAGTGAGTGATTTTGCCTTTTGTTGTTAACATTAATTAACAATAACCAATAGGCCTAATTAATTAACATTGTTAACATTAACATTTGGTATGAAAGTGACAGCAGCTTTTAGTATACCTGCTGTCTGCTCAAATCTGCTCTTGACTAAATAACGGTTTCATATTTAATATGGACTCATATATAAATATAATCTATATCTATGGCTTTATACATCATAGTATTTTGTTCCTGAATAGCAGAAGCTACTGTTAGTTTTAGGCTAGTCTACCTGAGCAAGTTAAAACACAGTTTGTTTCATTTGTATCCTTGTGCTATTGCTAGTAACTTGTTCATTTATACTGACCATTTAATTGTCTTTATGTAACATTATTTATTAAAATGCAAGGTTGAAAACAATGAAACAATAACTTTTTCTGGAGGTGTTTGCGCGGCTTCATGTGCGGGTGCTTTGGATGTGACCGTGAGCGCCCAGAAATCTAGTTTGGAGCGCGCGAGTACCGGATAATTAAAAAAGACTTAAAAAGACATGCAAATGATAAACTTTTGTGATGATGCAACACCGACCCGATTAGGCAAGTGACAGTCCTGTGAGCGGAGCGAAAGTCTTGTATCGCAGCGTGCAGCAGCTCTCGTAGTGCAGCCGAGATGCGCTGATGTGAGGCAATGAGAGAGAGTGAGAGCTGATAAACTTTTGTGATGATGCAACACCGACCCGATTAGGCAAGTGACAGTCCTGTGAGCGGAGCGAAAGTCTTGTATCGCAGCGTGCAGCAGCTCTCGTAGTGCAGACGAGATGCGCTGATGTGAGGCAATGAGAGAGAGTGAGAGCGAGAAGACGCGGTACAGCTGAACCACTCACGCGGTTTTCAAATGACTTAATCTGATATTCTGTGTGAATTTTTTTTTACTCATCTAACCTACATTGTATATTAAAAAAATGTTTGCGGAATTTTCCAAACGTGCGAAACCTGCGAAAATGAGTAAAACCAAAATGCGCAATACCGCACCGAGATTCAGGACGTGATTAAACATATATTCTATGATATAGAGATTTGTAAAATAAATTTCCACGACTTTTCCAAAGCTTTCTGGGTTTTTTAATGACCGTACAAACCCTGTAAATGGCTTTTTTTTCTTTAAATCGTTTTGATGAAATTTCTGCTCCACTTTGTGTGGAGGTAGTGAGACTGTAAGATATTAGGGTATTCTAGTCTTTGGACGGGAGAGAGCGCTCAGAATTCTTCAGATTAATTTAGTGGAACATTAATATAATATACAGTGTCCCCCCCCCCCTCAACGGCACCCCCCTTGAAGGTCAAGTTAATTTTATTTAATTATATTTTCTCTATAGCGCCAGATCACAACAGAAGTCATTTAAAGTTACCTTTCTTATAGAACATGTCTATACCTTGTTCTTTCATTAAGCAAACTAAATAGCCTTATGTTATTTATGTTATTTACACGACGGCATGTCATTTCAGTCTCTACGTTATGCTCGCGCTCTCTGTATCACACACAGCGGAGTTCTGCCCGATGCACGCGCTCACACACACACACACTCTCTCACACACACACACACACACACACACGCTCTCTCACACACACACACTCTCTCTCACACACACACTCTCTCACACACACACACTCTCTCACTCACTCAC